CCAACAACAATTCACACACTCACAAACCTTCATGTTCAAGAACTGCAAATACATGAGCGTAGGTCTTGTCCTCTAATGAGCATGTCTACTAACCAACGTATCATCTTAGCAACCTGCCGAGCCCAAAAGTAAACACTAGTCACTTGGAGCGAGCGCGTGCTGCTGTCATTTCCCCCTACATGCGATACACCTGAGACTGGTGAATGTTATAATCACATGAATTGTCTCAGACCAGAGGGAGATATAACCATACAAACCCCAACAAGCTAGAACAATGATAGCACACAAGACTAAAAAACCTAATTATACATTATGAAATTAAAAACGCCGAGGACCTATCAGTCCTTAAACCTCACTACCGGAAAGTGGCGAGAACTTCTTTTTAATGCACAACAGACTTCTCCCTGCTTTACAGCCACTACATCCTCCTCTTCTCACTCGACGCACATGGAAGGATCACAAGCGCAAGAACAGATCTTCATCTAGCAATGATCAGTGCTTGTGAATATTTGAACTCATATAACATCCCGCCACTAAAATTAGACTCCCGGAAGAAGAAGTGTTTTTAGCAGCGATTTCAAGGGTGGAGTATATCCCGAAGTGGCCCTGATAACACCCTGCCTTTTGCCATACACCCCGCACACCACGCCATTCTCCGATGAAACTGCTCAGAAACTGAAACACTTGATTTCAACAAAACTGCTCACAAGATCCGCATCACGGACCAAAATGCTACTCTCTACTGATGACATGTACTCTTCAACATCATCATCCGCGAAGCGGACCTGAAAAAGCAGAGACATGTTGGCTGTGGCGTTCCAGACCCCGCGAGCATCGGTCGCGCACCGTGCTTGTCGCCCTGAGAGTTCATTAGATACGTCATACTTACAACACACGTTAGCTCTACCGGAACTAGTTACCCTGACATTCGCTGACTATTTTCCTCGGTGCCCTCAACAAAACCAACCTATCCGGCCCCAAGCTCCCCCTCCACTCTAAACAAACAATAACACAGCCTGAAGAGTCCATATTAACCATTTTCGGCGTAATTACTCCGATATTTTCGCGCGACCCCGAAACATCTCGGCGCCAAAGTTGCACTTCCACACTCAGTAAGACAAACAAAAGAGTATCTCCATTATACGCAGGAATACAGTCGCCATTTCGCACTTGTGGGTGATATAGCCACTGCATGATGTCCGCTACCAATCCTACATACATCAAACGTATCTGCGAGCCTTTCGAATGATGCCACCAACCGAGAAGTAAGCAAGGCATAGGCTCGGTTTTGTCACTCTTTCTCCACACACGGACTTGGCGAACCACGTACTGAACACTTACTCCTTTTCTAACAGATAGTCTATCTTGTGGAGACCCATACATATAGAATGCCCATAGACATGCACATTGTTCTCACATGAGGCTATCACACAAGTGAACGAGAGGCCAGATGAACAGGAGTGATGCATTGAGATCACGGTGACGACAGTTTACATAAGAGAGTCAAAGGAAAACATGGCTGGCTATGCAAGACTCAGTCGCCCTTTGGGAGAGAGACGACACCGTTCAATGAGGCTCATGTACAACAGGAAAACGGAACTCAAAAACGAAGCACATAACTCCACATCCACAAAAAACCTCACAAGCACTGAATAGGTTGAATCTACAATCACATGACAACTCAGAACGTCTCCACTCACCGAGAGACCTTATTCACGAATACGCAGTAGAGCAGGCCACAGCTAACTATGCTCCACCACAAACGCGACACGTACATCCTGCTCTATATCCCTGCCTCCTCTGAGCATAGGAATCTCTCAGCCCACATGCATACTCGTCGTCGTTCTGAAATGCTACAGAGACTTTGAAAGTTTTTCTCTACGTGCGATTTGCTTTGCTCCTCGAAGCATTACTCAGATAACGTCCAGTCGCACGAATCATCATACTAGTCCGCACTATGTTGAATGTACACAATGCTACCAGTTCCCTCCTCAGTCATTAGACACGCAGCCTTCTTCCTCCATTCCATCAATGTATCCCTCTCAGACAGGTAGGAATGCCTCTTCTACATTCGCCTGTGGCTTCAAATGAAAACAGGCCTTTTTCTCTTTCGTAAAAGAAAATGGAACAGCTGCACGATGCCTGGGGGAACCAGGCTTTGGCTCGCTTCCGTGTCAGCTGCGTCTGTTGGGAAGATATAAAATATTAGTTTCATGGAACAGTTCACACCGTCACATAATAGGCATTAAGACATACAGTCATAGGCTAAGCCAAAACACCTATAATATATAACCCTTGCACTTGGAGTCTCCTGGTCCCGGTGACATTTTCACTATTTTGACATTTTTATAGATCAAAATTGAACTAAAGAAATAAATGGGAGATTAATCCATATTGAAAATATGTGTCAGCTGCTACACTAATTATAATAGTTATATTTCTTAATTAAGATAATATATTACTTTATTGATCCCAATTTGGGAAATGTTTGTGTTGCAGCAGCATAACAAGAAAAACAAAATATAAGTTATTATATATACAAAAGTATGTGAGGGATGGAATATTAAATTGAATATAAATGTAAAATGTACATGTGATTTTACGTCCAAGCTATGGAGCAGAGAGTTCTCTGCCAGCCAGAGGTGATTTGTTATTAGTTCAATATGTCAAACTGATTTCCCTGACTACAATCTTTAGTTACATGGTGAAACGTTATGCTGCTTGTACTAATTAGACTTATCATATAAGCCACACAGGTTTTAATAGGATGTATTCATTATCTTTACTTATGTTGCGGTCTTATCAGCAGCGCCATCTCTAAAACGGCGATACAGTCACTACCCATTTACATTTCACCGTGACATGGACAAAAATGTAACGTCAGCTTACCTCATAACACGAATCCAGACTCTCCTTTGGGAAACATTGGCCGGGAAACGATAGAACAAGCACGTTTCATGCGAAGACCTGTGGCTGCAACCCGGAGCAAAGCAACAAACCATTGCGTAGCTAACTAGTAGCGCTAGCTTTAGCTAACGTTAGCTAACGAAACGAACTGCCGAGTAAAATTGGAAAACACTGGTAATTAATTATTCTATAATTTGTAAAACTACGGTGTTAAAAACGACAATTTCAAAAATACAGATTCTAATGGTCAGATATAGATATATAGATATACAGATACTAAAGATAGGCAGGTACTTGCTTTCAAGCAGAACACAGGGGAAAACAAACTTAGCGGGAGTGTTTACGTGTTCGGCGTAATGACGTACAACGGCCTCGACAATTTCTGTAGTCCTATTCAGCCACTCGGTAACAACCATCGTTTTTCAGACACGTAAACTCTTCAAAAATCCCCCGTGGGGTCACTGCTGACGTATTTAATGTCGTAGAACAAAACGTGATTTATCTCTTAAATTTGTGTCAACCACAGACCTTATTTCGAGCTATTTTCCAAAACCCTATAGAAAAAATGCATTGCTTTTTGAGGAAGGAACCGGAAGTGCTAAAAATGCTAACTTACTTCCTGGTTTTACGACGCGTCACTGCGGTTCTCTATACTGTTATTACTAGCATGAAATCATTAATTACAATAAGTTTAGGAACCTTCTGGAGGCCAGCAAGTTCAAAATGTTTTTAGTTTGTGACTAGAAGGATTCAACTTCATGTGTCCAGAAAGACGGTATCAATAGGACTTTCGATAGTGTTAGAAAGTAAAATCAATGTTGATATGGCG